TATTATTATTATTATTATTATTATTATTATTATTATTATTATTATTATTATTATTATTATTATTATTATTATTATTATTATTATTATTATTATTATTATTATTATTATTATTATTATTATTATTATTATTATTATTATTATTATTATTATTATTATTATTATTATTATATTATTATTATTATTATTATTATTATTATTATTATTATTATTATTATTATTATTATTATTATTATTATTATTATTATTATTATTATTATTATTATTATTATTATTATTATTTTTACTATTATTATTATAATTACTTTTATTATTATTATTAATATTATTATTATTATTATTATTATTATTATTATTATTATTATTTTTACTATTATTATTATAATTACTTTTATTATTATTATTAATATTATTATTATTATTATTATCATTATTATTATTATTATTATTTTTACTATTATTAATACTTTACTATTATTATTATTTTTAATATTATAATATTTAATATTATTATTATTTTTACTATAATTATTACTTTTATTATTATTATTGTTATTATTATTATTACTCCTTACTTATTATTATTATGATAAGGTATTATGGCCAGGAGGAGAGACATGTTCATTTCTTTAAAAAATTTTAGGAATACCTTGCATACGAGCAACAATTTAGGATACTGAAAGTGTTACAGAATATTATAAAAATGCCTGTTAATTACCTCTTTCCAATTTTTAGGACATTAATAAGCTTATAGTTAACATACCTAGAAAAATGTAAATTTGGCTCTTAGTAGAGTTTCGCTTTGTGCCACCCGAATTCCCTGAAATGCTCGTCAGTTAGTTTCGGTAACAACCAGAACTCAAATATCAAATTTCAAGAAATTCTATCAATTAGTTCCGTAGATATAGTGAAAAATGTAAAATCGGCCCGCAGATCAGTTTTCGAGCCTTGATCTTTCCAAAAAATTTATATGTTCATTGTTTTAATACGAAGAACCTAAATATTAAATTTCAATGAAATCGGTCGATTATTTCTCTTTATATACGCAAAAATGTATATTTGGCCCGTAGTAAACGTCCAGTTGCTGACACCTGATTTCTTCCAAAAGTTAGGAGGTTTTGCGGCCGGTCGAGCGAAGCTTATATATGAAATTTCAAGCAAATCGGTTGAATAGTTTCTTTAAAATGATGAAAAATGTAAAATAGGCCCGCTAAAAAGTGCAGTTCCCGAGGCCTGATATATCCCAAAAGTTAATCGATCCGTGCCATGGTTGAAATAAACTTACATATAAAATTTCATAAAAATCGGTTCAGTAGAACTTGAGATACACGCATGCACACACAGACCGACAGACCGACAGACCGACAGGTTGCTAAAAATAGTTTATTTACACTTCCCTACTATGGAGAAGTGCATTCCCACCGAAAACTCGATATGCAAAATTTGTTGCCATCACATAACCTACCTATTGTATACACAATACGGTCGGTAATAAAGTTGTGTTAAACAATGTTGAAGGCTTTCTAGGATCGCATATATTTAGGATGAACGGTTTACGCAGTCTTTGAAATAAAGCAAAAATTAATATAAATTGGGTTTAAAATAATGCTCGAGATTGAGGGTTGTTTGCGTGGGCTTAGAGAAATAATTATATTTTTTAATGGCATGGTATTTACGATTAGCTTTCTGCGTTTATAGAAATTCGCAAAAGTTTGCAGTTTAGGAAATATAAGGTGTCAAAAATTCGAATTTTACAAATTTTGAAGGACGAAAGGGGATGAGGGTGAAAAAAGTTATCTTCTAACAAAATGAATTAGTTATTAGTGTTTAAAAGCTTCTAAAGTTTCAGACTTCTAAACCTTTCAGTCTAGAAAAAAAACGATATCATAATTCGGATAAAACTAGTTTTAGGTAACGGTAAATTTTAACAGCTTCTAATTTTTTTTAAAGTTCAGGTATAGGATGCCGCGACAGTTTGGCCATAGGAAAAACCCAGTTTCTTATATCTGATTTCCGCAAAAAGTTGGGTGGCTGGTGTACCTTCAGAAGCAGTTCGAATATGCGTTATCAAGATAATCTGATAAACACTTTCTTAATAAAGTTGGGTCAAACCAGTGGTTTGTATTGTAGCACTTTTCCCTTCAACAAGTGAAAATTCTGCTTTTAAATACAGTCTACGAGTATGTATACCTATCACACTATTAAAATTTTTTTCATTCATATACAAAACTATTTGTAGGATTGCATATATTTAGGATGAACGATTTATGCAGTCTTTGAAATAAAGCAAAAATTAATATAAGCAGGGGTTAACATAATGCTCGATTTTAAGGGTTACTTGTGTGAGTTAAGAAAAATAATTATATTTTTTAATATCATGGAATTTACCGTTAACTTTTTGCGTTTATAGAAATTTGAAAAAGCTTGCGGTTTCAGAAATATAAGGTGTCGAAAATGCAAATTTTACAAATTTTAAGAGGCCATAACTTGAGAGAAGGTGGAGATAGAAAAAAATTTTCTTCTAACGAAATGAACTAAATGTTAATGTCTAAAAGCCCCTAAAATTTCAAGCTTCTACAGGCTGGGGTCTAGAAGAAAAACGACATCAAAAATTTGGTAAAAAAGGACTGTAGATAACGGTAAATTTGAATGGCCATTTTGTTTTTCTAAAGTTTAGCTATAGTATACCGCGGTAGGGGAAGCAAGCCACAGCCTTTCTGCGTTTGCAAAATTTCAAAAATGCTTATGGTTTCATTGCAACAAATAGTTAAAATAGGCCATTGTTAGTGCTTTGGGGGGTATAACTTCTAGAGGGGGGGAGATAGGTAAAAATTTTGTTCTAAAAAAATAAGTTTCTAGTGAAGATCTATATACGTATTAAATTTCAGCTTTCTATCTTTAAAAATGTAGAAGTTTTGTAAACAGACACACGGACAGACGGACGGACGGACGGACGGACGGACGGTCGGACGGACGGACAGAGTGAAACTAATATGCACTTTTTTTCAAAAAATTTTTGGAAAAGTGCTAAAAATGATAAAATCGATCCACAGTAGAGCTTCAGTTGCACAATTCTCTTTGAAAATCATGAATTTTGTTAATTCAAATATTTTTATGTTTAAATAAAGTTGGGTCAAACCAATGGTTTGTATTGTAGCACTTTTCCCTTCAACAAGTTAAAATCCTGCTTTTAAAAAAACTCTATGTATATCTACCACACTATTAAAATTATTTTCATTCATAAACGATACTATTTCTAGGATTGCATATATTTAGGATGAACGATTTATGCAGTCTTTGAAATAAAGCAAAAATTAATATAAAAAGGGGTTAACATAATGCTCGATTTTAAGGGTTAATTGTGTGAGTTAAGAAAAATAATTATATTTTTTAATTTCATGGAATTTACCAGTAGCTTTCTGCGTTTATAAAAATTTGGAAAAGCTTGCGGTTTCGGAAATATAAGGTGTCAAAAATTCAAATTTTACGAATTTCAAGAGGCGATAACTTGAGAGGGGGTGGAGATGGAAAAAAATTTTCTTCTAACGAAATGAATTCTTTGTTAATGTCTAAAAGCTCCTAAAATTTCAAAGTTCTTCAGGCTGGGGTCTTGAAGAAAAATGACATCAAGAATTTGGAAAAAAACGACTTAAGATAACGGTAAATTTGAACGGCCATTTTGTTTTTCTAAAGTTTAACTGTAGTATACCGCGCTAGGGGAAGCAAGCCACTGTCTTTCTGCGTTTGCAAAATTTCAAAAATGCTTATGGTTTCATTGCAACAAATAGTTAAAATAGGCCATTTTTAGTGTTTTGGGGGGGTATAACTTCTAAAGGGGGGGAGATAGGTAAAAATTTTGTTCCACGGAAATAAGTTTCTAGTAAAGATCTATATACGTATTAAATTTCGGCTTTCTATCTTTAAGAATGTAGAAGTTTTGTAAACAGACACACGGACGGACGGACGGACGGACAGAGTGAAACTAATAAGCACTTTTTTTCAAAAATTTTTTGGAAAAGTGCTAAAAATGGTACAATGAAAATGGTAAAATATAAATATCCTGAGACAAATTTGAAATCGCCCACAAATATACTCGTATTTAGCCCAAAATGACCACAATTTTTACTCACAATATCCATTTCACGGTATGAAGTGTGGTCCATAAAAACAAAGATATGATAACGAAAGGGAAAAGTTTTAATGCAAACGTTCTGCTTTAAAATTTTAGAGCCTTTATTTTTTTGTTTTATTTTTAACAAACTAAACTATGTACAATAATTTAAGCCAATTCATTTTGTTGAAGCTGAAAAACTTTAAATAGTTTTTTATTATAACAGTCGAAGCTCATTTCTTATGTCAAACCCAGTAAGTAAAATCCCATTACGTTGTATCGTAGAATTCTCGTATATTGCTTGTTTAATTCATACGAAGAAAATTAAGATGTTATTCTGAATGAATACCTTATTTTTAAAATTCAATGTTAGGAAATCATGGCAAAAAATGTTGGTTTTTTTATTATTTTGAAATATTTAGATATTAGGTATAAAATTTTTATTGTAAAAATGTATATCAAGCATGAGTGAACATTTAGCATGATAGCTTTGCAAACTCGTGTTAACTGACATAAAAAAAACCCCGAAAACAAAATCAATTTAAGAGCATGCGCTGAAATTCAATTGTTTTTTGAATTTTCTACGAAAGAAAAATATCTACATGGTATTAAAGTTGTATAATTTTGGGAGCAAAATTTTTTTGAAAATTTTAAAAAATATACATATGCAAATTAAACACTGGTTTTTACACTACTAAGAAATAAAATTAAAAAGTTATAACATAGTCGAAAAAAATTTGAAAATTTAAACTTCTTCGTTTTTTAAACAGAGATGTAGTTACTGATGAAAGAACATTTTCTTTCAATAGAGACGTCTTGAAAATTAAAACTTTATTTCTAATGAAGAGGATTTAAAACAGCCTTTTTACTTTAAAATATGCGGGAAATTAACAATGGCACACTAAAAGGTTTACTAAAAAAAACAAATAGACCTCCACAAACTCGAAAAAATCGTGTTGTATTCGATGAGACTAGAAATGAATTTTTCGAAGCAGACTATATTATTCTTATAAGAGAAGAATGTACATATTCTGAAGATGATGAGGAACCTTGCTCCTGTGCTGAACAAGATTTTGTCAAAAAATGTTATGATGAATCATGCCAATGTAATTATGAAGTGGAGAATAAGTCACACATTGCACAACAATCAAAAGCAAAGGTATGTAAATAAATATATACAAGATTTAAGGATCAATTTCAAGGCTTAAGTATAAAAAAACAATTGTTTCTTTTCTCTAAATCAAAAAAATACACAAAATATGTGACGCGTTTATATTCTATACATAGAAAATTAAAATCTTCCAGAATATTTTTGGTCATCAATATTAATTGGTATTTACATGGTTCGTTCTCTAAAACAAAAAGAGAGCTTCAGACAATGCATTTCTTGCTTTTTTGAAATGACAAATAAAATCGATTACATACTGTTTATGTATGTATGTATGTACTCATATGATAAGTTATTTGCAGGCTGTTTTAAGTTGAGAACTTTAAATTATACTAATCGTGTCATTTGTTGTTATTGCTATATACGTTACTGTGCTGGATTCGTAATTTTTTTGTTTATAATGATTTTTTGTTTATAACTCCAATGGCATTGAACAATTGGTGGAAAAGTAATTTCTTTTTATAATCAGTACATGTTTTATTTTTGAGCGACAAATTTATTTTGATAATTTCATATGTAGTACAGCATTGTATTTGTGTTTATATTATAGGTTTAATCAAGATAATCAAATATTCAAAAATATTAACTTTTTTTTAATTTTAGAATACACAAAACCCAAAAAACTTAGCAGAAGTTACTGAAGAAACTCTCAGTCCACCAGATGGGTATAAGGATAATCGTCCGGTTAATCCTATATCAGAAGCTTTAAGCGGACACATTTTCGGAACACATCATATTCAGCAGCTTCAAGTAATTCAAAAATTACAACAACAAAGAGCTGCGATTCTTGCCGCACGCATTAATATTCAAAATAAAATAAATGAACAACATGAAAATAATATTTGTAATGAATGTGTAGAGTGCGTTGAATGCTCCCAAAATTCCATAGAGAGTTTAGGTAAGTTTCGATATTTACAATTTATATAAACGGTTTAAATTATTGTCTATCAAAACAAATTTTAAAAAATAAAGCGATTACTTCGATTTGGGGACAAAATTATTGACACAAAAATCAATTATTGCTCAAAAGTTATAATAACTTTGAAAACAATTATTTTTTTTATTAGGTAAAATCTGCTTTGTCCTAACATTGGAAGCTGCTTCAGATATATGTGATTTTTAATGTAAAGCGACTTTTACAACCTGAAAAAGGCGTAATCTTATTGAATCGGAAATACATACATAGCTCTGTGTATAAAACCAAATTTTTATATAATTTCTGCAAGGAAGGGTACCTCTAAAAACATAGAATACTTTTTCAATGAGAGAAATGTAGAAGTACATATGTATATGAATTTGTTTTGCTTTCTGCCGAGTGCATTCCATACAATAAGTGGAGGTTATGTGATGGTAACAAATTTTAAATATGGAGTTTTTGGTGGAAACGCACTTCTTTCTTCAGGGAAGTGTAAATAACACGTGTATCTCATGATCGGCTGAGCCGATTTGGATGGAATTTCATATGTTAATAAAAAATAAGAAAGTTTATTTTGGCTATAACACAGATTTATCAACTTTTGGGATATATCAGATCTCCTGAACTGGACCTTTCCAGGGTCAATTTTACATTTTTATGCATATAAACAGAAATAATCCATCAATTTTCTTGAAATTTAATGTTTTAATTCGGGATGTTAACCTTTAAATTTTTTGGAATAATCAGGGCTCGTAAACCAAACTTTACTCTACCAAACCCATTTTACATATTCTATATTTTGATTCTATATTTGAAACATATTAGCTGAACAGATTGATAGAATTAAACTAACTGGTGAACCTTTCAGGGCATTCAAGTGTCACAAAGCGAAATTTAGTTAAAGCCAAATTTACATTTTTATAGATATATTACCTGAAAGCTTACTAGCGTCCTTAAAATTGTAAAGAAATTTTTAAAACGCAATTTTATAATCTTCTGCATCAGTTTCAATAAGCATGGCAATAAATATTTGGAGCTTCAGAAAAATTAAAATTTTTTTACTTTCTTACTCGTTTTTTGTCCTCTTTTCGGAACATACTGTCAGTTACTAAGGGCCCTGACATCATTGTTATTATCATTTAAAGAAACTGCCATAAATACTATGAAAACATATTTGCTGTCATCATGGAAAAAATTAAGACGTATAGCTCTTTATTATAAATTTTTCTTTGGTGAAAGCTAGTTTTTGATTTTTACTTATTTTTCTTTTCATTAATTTTTTTGTGACAATGATGATTAGGACCAAGGCTGATTGACGTAGTACCCCAATTAGCAAAAACACGCCGTTACTACCTCGCGATCGCCGGGCGTCATTGAGTGTACGATTACAGGTGTCCTATCTAAACCAACCGGTTCTCTTGAGGAGTCTAAATTCTCGATACTATCCTTCGATATCTCGTCCAGTTGCGCGTACTTTGCTCCACGTGACCAGTTTAGCCCCGCTCGGAGTCAGTTACTCGCAGAGATAGTGGAAAATGGTCTTCTTTTCCCGGCAGCTGTCGAAATGATCTTACGGTCGTATTGTCATATTTAGCCAGCCTATCCGTTTTCCATTTTATTATGATGGTCCTGAAACCTACAGAAGTGTGACACTATAGAGAGCGCAAAAAATTAATTTGTAATGAGCTAAGTAAAATTAATGAATTCAAATTCAAATACTCAAATATTTTTGTTCATAAAACAGATTATACTGCTGAAATTTACTATTTCATTTTCACTTCACTAAAAAATCCTAGAGAAACATTTGATTCATCTGACTTCAGTAGTAACTCAAAAACAAGTATACTAGTTGATTACAAGTGTTGTGGTTCTAAAGTATCCTCAATAGCAATTAGCACGCTAATATGTTAATGCGACGTGTTATTTTTTTAACTATTGTCCTGATTTTTTAAACTTTTTTTTATGTGGGAGAAATGCCATTTTTAGGTTTTTAGGGGGTGTAACTTTTAGAGAGGGGGATATAGAAAATTTTGTTTAAGGAAATAAGTTTCTAGTAAAAATCTATGTGCATGTAAAATTTCAGATTTCTATCTTCAAGGGTGTAGACGTAAACAAATACGCTGACAGACGGACGAACGGGTGGACAGAGTGAAACTAATAAGCACTTTTTTCAAAGATTTTTTGGAAAAGTGCTAAAAAGTAAAATTAGTTGTAAGTCATAATTATTTTATAATATTGAAAAACTAAAATTAATTAATTATGTTTAGTAATTAGTAATTATGAAATAATTATAAAATAGAAATTGAAGTGAAAAAATTAAATTAAAATCAATTAATTTCAAAAATATCGACTACGCTCAATAATGATAAAAAATTCAAAAAAAAATTTATACATATATGTATATATATCTTAAAGCTCAAGGGACAAACTTAAAGCAAATTCCTCAATACATTCTAAACCAAAAAAAAGAAGAAATTGTTTGGAGTACCTCAAAAACAATTCGATATTTCATTGCCTATATGAATACAAAAACGATTGAAAATTCTAGGAGCCACACTATCATAAAAATGAAAAAAAAATGCGATGTGCGTCGGTTCAACAACTACATTCAGATTATTAACTCTGAAATTGTGATATAATTGGAAATGAAAAGCTGAGTACCTACATCTCAAAAAGAAAAATTTTCAACACTTATACAGGGTGTTTCGTAACAAAGGCTTAAAGTGAATTTCGACTGATGTTTTTAATTTTTGAAATTTTAAGTATAACTCCGCGACTGTATAACACAGGCACATTAACAAATATGTGACTTAAGAGTAAGGGCTTTCTTATGAATATCTATATCAGTAATAGTCTGTTCAGATTTTGGAATCACATGAATTTAAAGTTCGAAAACCTGAAATTTTAACTTTTCATTTTTAAAAAACGTTAATTTTCTAGGTGACGTAACTTTGGAGCTTTCTCCAATTTTAACACAGGTGGCAATCTTGATAATTGAGCTTTAATTTGGTGTATAAATCATTACGCTATCTGATCTGGTTTAGGAATTATTGACAAAAATAGGGTTCTATAAATGCTATTTTATACCAAATTCTTTTCTTCAATGACTTACAAAAATGTACAACAACCGTTCAAAATAGCGCCTCTCTTCTGTTTCTTCAAAATCAAAAGAAATTTAAAGAAGAGAAAAGTCAAAAGTTCACCAGATATGAAACTGCCTTTTGGGGGTAAACATTAAAGTAGAGAGATCCTGATCACAGAAAAATGCTGAACTTAAAAAACATAAGCCTCGATCAGTAATAGTGAGTAACATAGTCTGTATTACAAAACTAACGAGGATCCTCAAAGAGGAAAATATTGATGTGAAGGTAATCATGACGAACAACAATCTACTTAAATAACGTAAATACTGAAAATTAACATGAATATAGACTAACTAAAGCTGCTGAAAAAGCAAAATTAGAATGGCATTCTTATGAACATAAATAGACGAGGCCAATTAAAGCAACGGTGAAAAACTTACTTCCATAATACCATGATGATAGTAAATGTGAGCTTATCCAAAGGAAATTCAAATGCGTAGATGTGATAAGTAAAATCAAGGAAACATATTAACATAACTTAAATAACGTATATAGATTGGAATATCTTCAGCAAATGACAGTAAGAATTGAGGCTCTTAAAAGCAATAAGTCCATTTTTTAATACAAGAGGAGGATCTGACATACATAACGATTTTGTCAAAGACAAAGTGTAAAAGAACAGATAACTTTCAAGCCAAATCTGCAAACTGCGGTGAAGTACAAACCGGTGGTTACCGAAGCACTTGGGGGGCAAAAGAATTACAAAAAAGGAGAATAAGAAAGGATTGGTCTAAACGTCTCTCTAGCAATCATAAAAGGGCTTAAAAAAACGAGTATTTCCAAATCAAAAGTGTGGTTGCATACTACCACTTCCGAAATTACAGAAAATGAAATAACCAAAGGACCTATGAAAACTAAAGAAATTTACAAAAACAAAATGCGAAAAGATTGACGAAATATAAAGTAACTAATTTAGAGAACAGATATACTAATGTATATCAAGCGAGCTCGAGGTGATTTTTAAAAAAAAAGTCAAAAAGATAGTGTGTTATAAGTAGAAAGCATGAATTGGAAGTTTTTTTGAAACAAAAAAAAAGAAAGTAGAGGCTGCAAATCTGAAACAAAACTTGATAGATCTGCTGTAATTAGTCATATTAAATCATTAAATATTAGTCATATGAACGATAGGAAATTAAAGGAGATAAAACGTTCTAAATGTACGATAGTTATCACGAGAATTACGTATATGTGACATGTATGACAATTTAAATATGAAAAATTCTAATTTTCGCAATATAACGTAAAGAAACTTATCGTAAAGTTTTGAAAGAATTAAATGCATTAGTTCGTCAACCAAAATCTGATGTATGGGACTGATGTCTCTTTTTCAGCAATCAAGGAAATGAAATTGGGAATAATAATGAAACATAAAACAAAGGTCGGTAATGTTATATCTGAATACAAAAAGGATTTCAATATTATGTTAATTTTAGCCTCAGGTTCTACTTGCTTTTGTCAGCATGGCACTTTTGTCAGCCCTCGTTACTATAATTAACCACCTGGTTCCAAAGATATACGATTCAATTTTCTTACACGACATACTCATATGAGTGCTGATGGGGTGCACGTGAATATTGAAAAAATGTTTACAAAAAGAAGTGTATATGACTTCCAGAATCTGATTTGAAAAACTAGGAAAAATTTGAAATTTGTGAAGCTAGAACAATTTCGTTAAAGGAAACTTTGAAAAATTTTTAAATATGCGGCGTAGGGGAAATAAAGTTTACTAATGGTAATTTTGTACCTTATTTTTGTAAAAGCGGGCTTAAACGCAGAATTTAAGTAGGTAGATTTTTTAAAAAAGAGAGTGGTACACAATATTCCACCAAACATCGAGCA